GGGGGGGAAGCGTTTCTGCCTTACTCCGAGGGGAGGGTGAATCATGCGGGGCGTAGCCAGCCGTGCCAGCTTTTGGAGAGGTTCAAGTGAAGTCAGCCCTCCAAGGGCTTCCCTGGGCAGCTCTGGAGAGCGCTGCCGGCCTTAGAAGGGGCTCTCGGGCTTTCTGTCACGAAGTGGCGCTGCCTGCTTTATGTTGGGCTTCACGGTGTTCCGAAGAAAAAGCTGAAGGTGCCCCCAGGTGCTTCTGTAAATGAACTGCGGGGTTTTTGTTGTCACGTTTAGGGAAGAGTTCTGCCGGTGATGGGTACAGAAAATGAAGCTGTAACTCCCCTGTGTTTTAGTGGAGAAAAGCCAATAAGTGTTTCAGGTGCGGCGAGACCTTTGGGGAAAGGCACTGGCAGCCACCTCACGCCGGACTTAATTGCGCTGAGGCTGTGACTCCACGAGCAGCTCAGCCAGTCTAGTGACTGCCTGTCACTGGGACGGACGGTCCTGCCGCCTCCTCGCCTGCGTCTTCCTCCTCTGCTCCCCCCTGCAAGCTCCGGTATGCTTGCTTGTGTCACTGGAAGAGAAAATAGAAAAAGGGGAGGAAGAGGAAAGCAGACTGTTCCTGTGGTGTTCCGTCCTCGATTGGTGACACCTATACCCTGCTCGTGTCAGTTTAGGTACCTGCGTTTAAAACGTGACCTTTAGAAATCCCTACTTCGGCTGCGTTGCTTGTCCTGCCTTGCTCTGTAAGCCATTTATGCCTTTGACTGTAAAGCAATTGATTTGTCCTGAGGGGTTTTGTAGAAGACTTGGACCTTAAAAGCAGGGAACCCGATCAAAGTGCTAGTGCATAATCAGGGCATATAAGGACTTTCGAAAACGGTGTTGCCAGTGTGGACAGGACCATGAGGAAGAAGGGTTGGAGTGACGGTGAAGCAGTGCGAGTAATAAAATACTTATGTTGCAAAGTTTGAAAAAGGAAGTTTCTTCTGAAAAGAATGCTTTGTTGGATAACTAGTTCCACTTGTCTTTCCAAGACTACACCAACAATGAAAATTGATGAACTAAGTTTTAGACACTGTATGGCTCTTTGTTTATGGCTAATTCAAGGGCATAAACTGCTGCTTTCTAATGGTTCATCACACGTGGCTTTTTTAAGGCTGGTTTGTCTGAAAATGTGTCGGTGATGCTGATGCTTCTTGTAGC